AGAAGAATAGAGTGGTAATGGAGGCAGGAAAAAAAAAAGTGCCAGAAAAACCCTGTGGAAAAGGCTGTCAACCAGCTCTCCCGCCCTTCTTCGCTGTTCGTGGACTGTAATAGAACAAGATGTGAGGCAACATCTGTTGCCTTTTTAAAATAGCACGTTGATATTTTAAAAAGAATAATGACAGAATGAGGAGAAGCCTAATGTCCATGGCTGGGGACGGCAGACCCCTATGGCACAGAACGGAGTTAGTCCAGCGCGGCCTGAGCAGTCTGGGCGCTGTGGGTCCGGCTGCCACGCGCGGCTCTGGGAGGCGGCTGGGAGCAAGGGCTGGAGCGCGGGCTCTGGAGCTGGGCTTCCCGGGTGTAAATCTCGGCTTCGTGACTTGCTGGCGGCGTGCTGCAGGGCAAGCCGTGTGGCTTCTCCCAGTCCCAGCTGAACGTGGTAGTATTTCCGGTCTCGGGGTGGTTGTGAGATAGATGAGAGAAAGGAAACTTGAGAAGCCGGTCCAGAGACTGGCTCGTGGTCGCACCTGCTAAGTGTAGGGTGTTATTATTATTTTTATTTACTTGTTTATTTTTTAAGGAGTCACTTCTCTTAGACCAGATGTAGGAACTTGATGGGACATCCAATAGGAGAATGGCCCTCAAGCAGAAAAAGACGCGGGTCTCTTTCTGTGAATAAGTCTGGTCGTCCAGCTTGAGGAACGGCTGCGGTGCGGCCCTTCTTTGAGACGCAAGAAGCCAGCAAGACCAGCCCAGATCAAGACTTAGAACTCTAATCAGAGCCGCCAAGCCCTGCCCAAGGGTAGAGTCAGTCGTCACAGCTGTATATTGAATGTGCTTCCGAGAACTGAGCAAGTGCAAGGAAAGTCCACAGGGATCAGATCCCAGGCAAGGCTGCCAGCCATGTGGATCCAAACCAGGAGACGAGCAGAAGCCAGGAAGGGTCACGAGGCAGGAGCACACCCGGCAGATCTAGGTGGGGGGACTTCAAGCTCTGAGGCTGAGGCCGAACATCCCAGATCACGTGAGCTGGAGGCTGTCACTAAGCTTGGTCGTGGTGCCCCTAGGATGCCCAGACAGGGTCAACGACTGAGACAGGTGCATTCTGAATGGTGGGCCGCCCCTGGAAACAAGACCCCAGAGATGAAGGGCTGCTTCAGAGAAGCAGTGCAGCGTGGTGGTTCCGATGACGGACTGGGAGAGAGACAGTCCCGGTCCTAAATCCTGCCTGGCCAATTCCTGCAGCAATAATTTGTTTTATCTCGCTACGCTCCCACTTCCTCATCTGTACAATGGAGGCAACAGTTTCTACTTCAAGGACTTTTGAAACTGAAATCATGCAATTTAATTAAAACGGCTAAAGCAATGCCAAGCACCTAATAAGTGCTTAATTAATGTTGGCTGTTAGTATTAGAAATTCATTTACACGCACTCACTGGTATGTCTTGTTTCAGAGCGCCATAATCACAGTGTACATCGCAGAGTAGAAGGCAGTTATGTGAAATGACTTCCCCTAAAACTTTCCGCTGAAAAACCTTCTTGCCGTGTAGCTTTTCTCTTTTTAATGTATTTTCTTTAGGAAGTGAATTTTTAGCAAAATGTGCCACTTGGAAACCAGGTCTGAGTGCTATTTTGGACAAGTATAAAGGAGATCCGTTTTTAAATCAAACAAATTATGATTGGGTTGGAGATGATCTGAATCATTACAGCGGGTGTAGGGCAAAGGGCAAAATTTATCTTTGAGGGAACTCAAGTTTTAACAGAAAGTCACATTTTGTATTCATTTTAGACTGGCCTTCTTGCCTGGGAGTATATTCGCTCAGGCTTAGCTGGCCCTCACGCCTCCGCCCTTCCCCATAAATTCCGCATCCGCCCTACTAGGTGCCTTGAACTAAATCATTGGCTTCAGACTTCAGAGCTGTCTCATTCTTAACCAATGTGTTAGGTTTATTCACAGGATCCTGCTTCGGGCTGGGAGAGCCAAGGGGTTCTGGGGACGAGACAGGCTGTCATATTTTTGCAACAGAATTAGACACCATCTACCTGAAAATGGAATCAGTGGTAAAAATCTCCAAATTACTGTGATCTTTCTCTTGGGACCCACTGAATTCTCCCAAGATTTGTTTTTGGGGAACTGTTTAATAATACACTAGATGTATCTTGTCCTATTTAATTTCTACTAATTCTGTTGCCCCAAAGCAGATCAAGAGAACTGTCTCTGATATAATAACATTCTGCCCCCTCTTTGCCGATAGCACACAATGGAAGACTAACTCTGTGAAAGATTATTACTCATGTTTTGCAACCTGACAGACTTTAACAGGGAACTGTCGATTGGCCAAGATGCAGGGTACCTAACTCCTACGGAAACCATGACGGATACCCTTATTGTCCCCAGATTTTGCTCTTTTATATCTCTTTCCTCCATTGCTTATACTTCTACCTGGGGGGGATAATTGGAAAGACAAAGAAATAAGTGGAATTCAGTCAGATATCTGGCTACAATGTTACCAAATTTGTGGATGGTGAAGTCCTCAAATCACTGGATGACGTAAGCCTTCAGACGGTCTTTGGGTTTCACTGATCCAGTGGTGCTCAGCCTTTGGCATGCATCACAACCCCCGAGGTTGCAAGTTTTTGACTGAGAAATGTGGGGGCTCGTCCTGAGAGACTGCATTTCCCACGGGTTCCCAGGCAGGGCCGATGATGCTGGTTCAGAGCACGTACTGTGAGAATCACTCTACTAACCTGTGCTTGGCTTCCCTTCTGTTAACGCGAATAATCTGGAATTTGCTTGTCCTTAGCTGGCTTCAGAGATCTGTGCTCTATAAAGTAAGCATTGTGGGGTGAAGAGTTATTTTGGTGTCCGTACACTTCGTTGAGTGTAGTAGGGTTGGTCAAGTAAGTAGTGACTCTATCCACTTGGCTGATTGAATGGGCAGAGCAGTCAGTATGTATTTGCTGAGTCACGGCCCTTTTCTGCAAACCTCTGCTTCTCTGTATCATTGTGGAGTCAATGGCATACTGACCTTTAATCTATTCGTGTGTGTGCGTGTGTGTGTGGTAAAGCCTCAGTTTTATGGGACTGCAAGAAATTCATACATAGAAAACTTCTTCCCCCATTGTTTTCTCCAATGATATGATTTTATGAGCCTTTCTGGTGGCAGAAGAATGGAGTTCATTTGTTGTAGAATTTTTTTTTAAAACTCAGAATAATGTTTATTGAGCTTTGTTAAGGGTATGGAACAGGGAAGAGCCAGGACAGCATCACAGAAGAGGTACACAGTTGTAACTTCTGCTGTCCCCTCTGCTCACTGTTTGGAACATGTTTTGGTCACAAGAAATGACAAGAAGTTATTTCACTTAAATAGTCACTTAAATGCTAAGTGAATTAATTTAACTAAATTAAACTGCATGTATTAAATTAATTTAAATTTAACTTAAATTAAATGTGAAGTGAAACATTTCCCTTAAGTATTTGCTTTAAGTGAATGCAGGGCACATCACATCGGGGAGTCACAGTGTTGGGGTCCCCGGGCGGGAGCACTTTGTTAGTTACCTCCCACCCAGAAGGCTGTGTACCTCACTCCCGCTCCACCACGCAGCTACAGCCCATCGATCACAAGGTCCACAGCAGTCTCCCAGCAACTGGGAGCGACATTACTTAGGGACATCCTTGGAGCCCTTATTTAACCACAATGGGTACATGTCCTCAGTTGCTGTTGCAAGTTTGATGACCAGACGGTGCTCAAGTGTCCCCGAGGCAGGAGTCAGATGTGCCGTCCGGCTGTTAATTCTTTGCTTGCACCAGCTGGAATCCTGGCTGCAAGGGAGTCTGGAAAATGAAGTTTTGAACTTTTTCCCAGCTTTTGTGGCCCAGGAAGAAGTTCAAAACAGATAGTGAATGGGTCTGGTAGACGGTCTGTACCACACTGTCTAACCGGTTAAAACCTGAGAAGAGGTAACTTCAAAAATCCCTGGCCTTCGAGTCTGGAGATGAACTTTGAAACCTTCTCCGCTCCAAGTTGTGACTTGTCACAGCGATTCTAAAGCCATTCTACCCAACAGGGTGACAGGTGGTACAGTGGTAGCGTCTTTAGGCACTCCATCACGTAAGCTGTGCAAACCTGGGAAAATTACTGGACTTCTGCATGCACCAAACCTCTCGCCATGTCCTGGCAATGACGGTGATACCTGCTTCCCAAGGTGGTTGTGAGACTTCAGTGGGGAAACGAAGTTCTTAAAATAACATCTGGCACCTCCGCAAGAAATCAGTATTTCATTAGCACGTGAATGGGGGGGTCTCACTGAATGCTTTCTGGCTACACAGGCCACACCCAATGTGGATATTTTTATAGGATTTTATACTTATTTTATATTTATATTTATATTTAAGACCTGGGGATAGTCAGACAGATACCCCCGCATGATACAAGTAAAAGCCGTGCACGCATGGAAAGGGGTTCCTTTCCTTAGCTGCCTGCGTCTCTAACCAGTCCTGAGCTCAGGATGGAAAAATAGCCTGTAAATACTTCCACTGGGAAGACGCTTCCACGGGGAAGGCCATAAAATTGAGACGTAATCCCTTATAGCTTTTTATTCTTCAGTGCCTGCCAAATGCTTTTCAGACATCTGAGTAATTGTCTTCATTACCAGTCAGCCTAATGAAATAACAGGAGATGCTCCACTTGGAGAAGGTTTGTTCTGCAGGAATTCTTCCAGGCCAGAAAGAGGGTTTTGTCTTTAGAGGTACTGGGATTTTAGAAAGCTGTGTATCATGCAGTATCCTTTTTTTCTTTTTTCATCTTGGGATTAGGGATAGAAGACAGGTGGCCGCTTGTAACCTATTCACCTCCTCCAGTAATAATTTGCTCTTCTTTTGGCAACGCTGTATACTTGTGCAAACACAACATCGTTTTAACTGCGAAATTGCACCTCCGTCTTACGAATGTCCCACCGTGACTAATCCAGGGGTATCTCGCTCTCCTTCCACTCTAGCTGGACAGTGCCACGTCGCTCATCCAGGCAGCTAAAAACCTGATGAATGCTGTTGTCCTCACGGTCAAAGCATCCTATGTGGCCTCAACAAAATACCAGAAGGTCTATGGGACAGCGGCTATCAACTCACCCGTCGTGTCTTGGAAGATGAAGGCTCCGGAGAAGAAGCCCCTTGTCAAGAGAGAAAAGCCTGAAGAATTCCAGACGCGAGTCCGACGAGGTTCTCAGAAGAAACACATTTCGCCTGTACAGGCTTTAAGTGAATTCAAAGCAATGGATTCCTTCTAGGACGACAGGCTTTAGCAAGAAAGCGTTTTCTTTCTTTCTTTCTTTCTTTCTTTTCTTTTCTTTTTAATTCCAGTTTTGTATGCGTACCTGCTGACTCGTATGCCTCTGGCGTGGGGGAATTAAGGAAGCAGTGTCTGTTTGCATGTCAGATCAGATGTGATCAATACCACGGATCCATCTGTAGCCTGGGGAGGGGACAGGGAATTCCTGTCCCGAGGTGGCACCGAGTTGTCCTTTGCAACATTCTCATAAAATTGGGCAAAGTGTTTGCATTGCAGTGTTTACCGGGAGCGGGGGGGATGGGGGAAAAATAAACTTAACTCTACAAAAGCAAACTCTAATGCATGCAAGAATCATTAGGTTGGCAGGTATATTAATCAGTGAAATATCTGGAAGTGTCACGGTAGAACATAAAGCTTGTATTGCTTCTGTTCCAGTGTGAAAAATGTCTTAGCCAATACGCTGAAGTGTGTGGCCCACAAACTGAACACTTTACCTTTGGCATCATATCCATGCAATGATGTGGATTTTTCGGTTTTTTTTTTACTAAGGGGAAACTGACTCGTCCAGCCTAAATTGCTTCTTCGAATCTGTATTCTGTTCTTTTCTCTCCTAGTTGTGCCATGACCTGTGCTTATGTTATCAATTCCCCCCCCTTTCCTGAAAATAATAAACGTTTTTTTACAAGAATTATAATCCTTCTGGGGGCACTGGACATACAATGTGGCGGTCATCCTACTTTTACTTAAAGAAAAAATTGAACTATGATTTTGCTAGAAATAGGAGGCCCAGTGGTGGAATGTTAGAGGAGTGGAAACCGACCATGTGTGAGGGTTTAGAGGCAGATACATAGGTGTAGCTTGGAGTGCTGGTATCTGATATGCCATTGTATCCACTAACTCAAAATAAACACATTTAATCTTGACACCGGAAGAATGTTCTCTTTCTTTGAATGCGTACTTAAGATTAGAGCATCTCCTTGAAAATTGGTTAAAAATACTTTGTGTTTATTTTCAGAAGTCGGGGGTAAAGTAGGTAGGTGATATATAAAGAAAACTCTGGGTCATCTTTATAGTCCGGGAATTGCTTTTTTGGTGTGTTTTTCCCATGTGTTTTTATTCACTTTTAAACTGAATCTAAAATGAGAAAGTCATGTGTTAGAAGTTTCTGGGCCAAACTTAAGAAACATCATGGGTTCTTAGAGAGAAACTGAATCAAAAACAATTTTTAGAGAGGCCCGTTCATTTCAAAATATGTTATTCATTTCAAAATATTTTTTCTCTAAACTGTAGAAAGAGGGACTCTATCCTATTATTAAGAAAGAGCGGGTGTAGACTTTTAGCTGTAGCTTGAAGAGTGAGGGAAAAAAATATTCATTTGAGTGCTTCAAACTCCTCCCAGAATGATCCCCACAAGTTAGCAAATGAAAGGATGCGTCCAGAAGACGCCTGATAGAACGTGTGCATTCGTTAGCAGTGTGATAACATAGGGGGACGCAGACACCTATGCTTTGTGTTAGTTCAGGTGCGAAGTCCCAAAGAGAAGAGACTTAGATGTGGAAGAAGAGGCTCTTAGTCCAGAGTCTTATTTAGATGCAGTTCTGCTCGAACCTCTGCTACTACCACGAGGTGATGGAAACACTGCCCAGGCTGGGAATGACTTGTTTATGGAGGAGCCACCATTAAAGCTGCAGAGCGGTTTGCAACGGTAATCATTAAGCCACTACTTCAGCTAGCCCGCTCCCCTAATTCGCGTCAACACCATTGACATTGATTCACAACTGTTTATGGGCTGCGTTCTCTCAGCCAGGTCCTGAGTTGAGCACATCACTCTGTGAGCTTATTGGCAACTTTCTCTTGTTAACATTTGAGTGTGGGTTTATGCATTAATTCTATGATTTAATGGGTTGAAAGCAGTATTCTTCAGACTAGCCAAGAAACTTTTAAAATTCCAGAGCTTCTTGGCAGATCCTGAAAAATAGTCAGCGGGCATCAGAGGAGCATCTAGACTGTGCCATTGACTTGGCCCTTAAATTTGAGTTAAATGTTTTAATACATGGCATCTGAGCTATATGTTATGTGTGTGGCTTCTGAAAAATCAGTCCTGGATTTCGCCAAAGCTTATTGAGCAAACATCATCCCTATCCATCATTTCTCTTGTGGTCAAGAAGAATAATAACTACCCAGAAAGATAATTAAATACAAACACTGTGCTGTGAGCACTACAGCAATAAAACAGCTTATGGTTTGCTCACTGTCCTCGAGAAACCTACAGTCTGGTTGGGAACATATGATATAGACGGGAAAACTAGATAAACAAGGCAAGAACTCATACTCAGTATGCCAAGTGAACAAGGTAAGGAAATGACCACGGTGTAGGACAAAGGGAGTCAGAACACACTAGGGAAGGATTTGGGGAAGGATTAATGGAAGAGAGAAGATTTGGAAATGAGTAGGCAATAATTACACATACTCCACATGAACGAAAGATACAAACGAGTAAATCTGGTGAGGGGATTACTGGGGTGAGCATTCAAGGGAGAAAGAACAGCATAGTTAAAGGTCTGAAAACGAGGACAGTCACAGGGAGCGTGGGATTCATGATGTGGATTACAGGGAAATAAATGTGGAGATGGAGTATAAGGGTGAACTACGGAGGGTCATGAAGGAATATGACCATTGTCCAGTAGGAGCTGTGGAGTTTTTAAGTGGAATGGTGACACAAACAAAGCAGCAGCTTCATAAGATGAAACTGATAATGTGGAAGAGGTAAGAGCTGAACGGGGCTGATGTTGGTTAGAAGGGGCACGTGAAATAGAAATGTAAGAAGGAATTGCAGTTACTTTTTGAGTACTAGATGAGGAGTAAGAATGATTAAAGTATATATAACTTATTCAGGGAGACTAATGAGTCAGAAAACTGAAAAAGAGCTACAAAGCAGTATATGAACGTGGGCTGGAACAAACTGAATATATGGTATATTTGAGAAGACAGAGAATTGGTTATTAATCCCAAGCAAATGCAGTTACATGGGGTATTTCCTACAAAAGTAGCACCCTGGGATAAAGGAGAATGAATACTCCTGATGGGTGGAAATTAAATAAATCTCAATTCCTTTGACTCTCTGTGCTAGGATGGATGGTTCAAAAGATAAAATCCTTGTATTCGTCTAAGGACCTAAATTAGCCTCATGAACATAGATTTATCTTCAGAAGATCTGTGGGTTTTTTCTCCATTAAGTGTTGATCAATAAGCAATCAACTTTGATTTTAGAAGTCAACTTTTTTAACCAGCTGGGTCATGGTTTTAGCTTGTGGAGAAATATGCCATGTAAGTGTCATCATGAGGGCATGATCATTTCTGAGTATCAGTTATATGCAGGGCAACTTTCAGACACTTGAGGTGTAAAGATTTATAAAATACTGCATACAGCTGAATCATCAAGCAAAATAAGCATCTGAAACATTCTGATTTGATAAATTTCAGTCACTAAATTTGCCAGTAGTAAAGTCATTTGATCTCTATCACTGCCTCTTAACCAAACCAAAGAGGTGAGTACTTATTCTTCACTTGAAGACTGGAATTTTTTAAGTTAATTAAAGGCAGTGAATTAACTATAGAAGGTTAATAATAATAATAAAATTATAGTGCTGAGATGTGCCAACAGCAAGTGACAGATGAGGAGGCACCAGGCCCTTGTTCATCCACGGAAACACAAACAACAAAACACTGACTGAAGGAGCTTCGTGGGAACTCTAGACACCAGTTACAGATTTGTAGTAGCCATACAAATGTTGAACCAAGAAAAAGCCACACTCATTATGGAAGAAAATTTGCGGGTGTTTTTGTTCCCCATATCTTGCCTCTTCCCTAGCACAGCATGGTCTGGAGGAAGGGTCCAACCCCTGGTTCCTCCAATGCAAATGAAAGAAAAGAGTCAAGATTGTTGGCATTGTTGTGCCTTGTCTGGGGCTTCCTAAAGGATGGATTTCTGTTTTGCTTAATAAGGAGCTGTGATGGAAATGGTAGCGTTGTTTGGATGTCAAACTGGAGGCCACTGAAAGCAATGGCAGGCACCATGGCACCTAAGAGCTATAGAGGGGCTGCAAATCTCTGAGCTCCTGGAGGCAAGAAATTGTGGGCAGAGGAATACAATGGAGCGTCTGAGACCCTGAGAAACAGCAGAGGTGAGACTCTTAGGGAATATAAGACATTTAAAGGCAGCCATGTAAATGGGAATACTGGGGCAAATAAACACACACACACACACACACACACACACAGGCCCTGGACACAGGCATGCTTAGAAAGGCCTTTATGCCAGGTTGATCAGCGAAAGCCTTCCCCTTCACAGAGCCAGTCTGTAAAGACTGGGAGAGGTGGCTATTTTTCCAAATATTCAGCTATGTGTTGTCTAGAAGTGACTCACATTAGCTCTAAAGAAACACATAGGTTGAAAGTGAAAGGATGGGGAAACTATTCCATGTAAATAATAATCAGAAGAGAGTAAGTGGAGCTTTCTTACACATTTTGTCAAAGCTGTTGCTAGATATGAAGAAAGACACTAGATAATGATAAAAAAAAGTCAGTGGATCAAGAAAATATAATTGTAAACATCTATTCACCAAACATCAAAGCTCCTAAATACATAAGGTGAACATTGACAGAATTAAAGTGAGAAATAGTTTTTGAATAATAGTTGGAAATGTCAATACCCTACTTTCAATAGCAAGTAGAAGAGTTAGACAGAGGGTTAATAAAGAAATAGAAAATTTAAGCAACACTATTAGACTAATTAGATCCTGATACACATATACAGAACACCCTATCCAACAACAAAAGTGTTTTCTCAAGGGCACATGGAAGATTCTCCAGGATAGAAAACACGTTAGACATATAACAAGGTTTAATAAACTTTCAAAGACTGAAATTACACAAATTATCTTTGATACAATGAAATAAAACCAGAATCAATAGCAGAAGACCTGAAAAATCCTCAACTATGCTGGAAATCAAATACTCTTAAATAAGCAATGGATTAAAGAAAAAAATCACAAGGGAAATTTTAAAATATTTTGAGACAAATAAAAATAAAAATGCAAGATAACAAAACTTATGGGATGCAGGGAAAGCAGTGCCAAGGGAGAAATTTATAGCTGAAAATGCCTACAGTAAAAAAAGTCTCATATCACCAACCTAAACCTACACCTCACTTAATTTCATAGCGATAGAGGAAAATCAGCAAAATGCAAAGAAAATGGAATTTGTCTCAATTGAAAACAACTAATGAAACAAATAAAATACCAGATAAAGATTTCAAACCATTAGTCATAAGATTGCTCACTGAGTTAGGGAAAACAGTCGATGAACACGGTGACAACTGTAACAAGGAACTAGAAAAAATAAAAGAACCAGTCAGAAGTGAAGAAGACTACAGTAACTGAAACGAAAAACTCACCCTAAAAAGAATGAACAGCAAATTGGTGGTTCAGAAGAGTGAATCAGTGATCTGGAAGACAGAATAATGGAAATCACCCCATCAGGACAGAAAAAGACACTCTAATTAAAAAAATAAAATAAAAATGGTTTAAAGGATCTTTGGGGTAACATTCAGCATGCCAACATTTGCATTGTATAGGGGTCCCAGAAGGAGAAGGGAGAAAGAAGGGGCAGAAAGTATATATAATAAAACTATGGCTGACAAATCCCTAAGCCTGAAGAAGGAAAAAAGCACAGAAAGCAGAGAAGTTCCCAAGCAGGTGAACCAAAGAGACCCACACCAAGTCGCACCATAATTAAAATGGCAAAAGTTAAAGAGAGAATTCTAAAGGTAGCAAGAAGGAAAACACAGATTCACATATAAGGGAAGGTCCAAGTTGCTGTCAGCTGATTTTTCTGCAGAAACTTTGCAGGTCAGAAGGGAGCG